ATATTAATAAACGAAATTGTGTGGGGGTTACAGGAGAGGAGGAATTAGGGGTTTATGGGTACTGCCTGTACTATCCCTTCAATTTTTCTGTAAACCTAACATTACTCTTAAAAAATAGAATCTGTTAATTTTTTAAAATGTTTTCTCTTTATTTCTGAGAGAGAGAGACAGTGTGAGCAGGGGAGGGTCAGAGAGAGAGGGAGACACAGAATCCGAAGCAGGCTCCAGGCTCTGAGCTGTCAGCACAGAGCCCTACGCGGGGCTCGAACCTACAAACCGTGAAATCATGACTTGAGCTGAAGTCGGATGCTTAACCGACTGAGCCACCCAGACGTCCCCAGAATCTGTTAATTTAAAAATAAATAAACTGGTGGCTCCTGGGTGGTTCTGTCAGTTAAGCGTCCAACTTCAACTCAGGTCATGATTTCACAGCTCATAAGCTCGAACCCCACATCAGGCTCCGTGCTGACAGCTCAGAGCCTGGAGCCTGCTTCAAATTTAGTGTCTCCCTCTCTCTCTGCCCTCCCCAGCTTACACTCTATCTCCCTCTCTCTCTTTCAAAAAAAATAAACATTAAAAAAAAGTAAATAAACTGTCAATGCCAAGTGCTAATAAAGATATAGAGCACCCAAAATTCCCCATATATTGCTGGTAGGAATACAAAATCATAAAACCACTATGGTAATCAGTATGGCAGTTAAATATACACTTACCACATACTCCAGGAATCCCATTCCTAAGTATTTACCCTAGAGAAATTAAAATTTATGCTCACAAGAAAAAGTATGAAAATATTTATAGCAGCTTCATTCTCAATTGCCAAAAAGCTATAATCAACCTTTACGAATTTCAATGGCAGAAATAGATAAACTACTGACACACACAAAAACACGAATGAATTTTAATGGCATTATGCTGAATGTAAAAGTCATTCTCAAAACATTACACACTCTATGATTCCATTTATGTGATATTCTGGAAAAAGTACAGGTGTAGCTACAGAAAACAGTGTTACCATGCATGAAAAGTGGAGCCAAGGAATAATTACATAGGGACAGCACAAAGAAATTTTTTTGGACTGGTAGAACTATGTATAGTAGTGTCTTCATTGTCATAATACTTATATGAGCCTATATAGACCTTGTAACTCAGAGCTGTACACTGAGAAAAAAACTACAAACACACACACACACACACACACACACACCTTTATTATAGTGGTGGTTGCAAAAGCATATATACTTGTCAAAATTCAAATAAGAATTAAAATAGATTAACTTAATTGTATGTAAATTAATTCTCAATAAAATTTATTTTTAAAATTAAGGGTGAAAAAAATTGAACACACATGTCACAAAAAATAGCCAATCAACATATAAAATGTTTTAACGCCATTAGTCACCAGGCAAATGCAAATTAAAACCAAGTCCAGGGGCACCTGGGTGTCTTAAACATCCAACTTTGATTTCAGCACAAGTCATGATCTCATAGTCATGAGATTCACACTGGGCATGGAACCTGCCTAATATTCTCTCTCCCTCTCCCTCTGCTCCTCCCTGGTATGTGCACATGCGCACATGTGCCTTCTCTCTCTTAAAAAAAAAAAAAAAAAAAAGTCCAAAAGCCTATCAACAGAATTCAACAAACTGTATTATAGCCACATAATGAAATATGCTTTAACAATAAAGAGTAACAAACCACTGATTGATGCAAAACAGGGATGAATTTCAACATTTTGCTAAGCAAAAGAAGCAAAACACAAAAGAGTATATATTGTATGAACAGGCAAAACTATTCTACAGAAATAGGATTCAGAAATGTGGTTGCTGGTGATGGGGTGGGGACAGGGAGAGAGGAAAATATACGATGGAAAGGCACACGAGGGAACGCTCAAGGCTCACAATTGCTCTATTCCTTTGGAAGTACTGTAACAGTGAACATCTTTTTTCATATTATAGGGAACTATTTTTGAGTGGGATTGGTTACATATGTCACATTAGTCAAAACTTATTCAATTATATACTTAAGACCTGTGTAAACTATTTCATATCATTTTATCTCAATAAAAATCATAAATATGCAAATAAAGGAGTTAAAATTCTAAAGACTATGCAAAAAGAATGCATTCACTGAAACTCTCTAAAAACAATTTTTAAAAGGGTGTATGGGAGAAACAATGAAGCAAGATACTGGTACAGCCTCAAACTCTACAAACTGTGAAGCATACTTAACAAATGCCGTGAAGTCTAAAGCACCAAGAGAGAATGGCAATGCTGACACATGTGCCACTTCAAAACTCAAACAGGATACAGATTTCCAAAAAGTTAAGTAACAGTATTTTAAGGAAGACATCCAGCTGGGGTGGGAAACTAGTCATGAGCAAGATCTTGTTGCATTCAGTGGGTTAGAAGGAACTAAAGAAGAAAATAAATGGTTCGTTCCTCTGGAAAAGGAGACTGCTGAAATAAACAGTTAAGGAAAAAGAGAAGGCAAAAGATTGTTACACAAAGACTTAATACCTAAAGAAGGAAGGAAGGATGACATGTATGACTTAAGGGTAAAGGGAAAAAAAAACATTTAATAAGATTCTGCTTAAGAAAACAAACCCAACGAAAAGCCTTATCTACTTTCAAGAGACAGTGTATACGTGTATGTGTATTTAAAATTATATATATTGCATATATAACATTTTTTTTTCTTTTTTTTTTTTTTTTAAAAATAGTTTATTGTCAAATTAGTTTCCACATAACACCCAGTGCTCATCCCCACAAGTGCCCTCCTCCATGCCCATCCCTCCTCCCCCCCACATCCATCAGTCCTCAGTTTTTGTCAGCATTCAAGAGTCTCTCATGGTTTGCCTCTCTCCCTTTCCCCCACCATTTCCCCCCTTCTTCTCCCGGTTGGTCCTCTGTTAAGTTCCTCCTAGTCCTCCTATACGTGCACACATATGATATTTGTCCTTCTCTGCCTGCATATATAACATTTATTTCACAATAAATTCAATGTCCTAACAAAACACGTACATGCAATGAGATTAAATTTTCTTAAAATTATGTTTTTTTTCTTCCTATTTAATTGGCAGCAATTTTATTGTGTGATAACATCCAGTGCCAGTAAGTTTCTAGAAAAATGGGAGCTCTCGTTGGAGGTAATATAAATTGGTGCACAGTTTCTGTGAGACAATTTTGCAATGTTTATTAAAATTTAATATACAAATTCCTTTCAAGCCAGTAATCCCACTCAAAAATAGTTTTCTACACACGAAAAATGATGTTCAAAAAAAAAGAAAAGAAAAATGATGTTTGCTGCAGCATTGTTTCTATTAGCAAAACTCTGGAAACAACTGTCTACTACCAGTGCACTAAGTAAATCACATATGGTGAGTTCACCTGAAACTAACATAATACTGTGTGTCAACTATATTCAAAAAAATTTAATTATAATATTTCATATATTTTTAGAGTACTACAAAGTCAAAAAAAAAGTAGATCTAAATGTGTTAATAAAAAATTTTAAGAAATATTAAATGAAAACAAAGCAGAGACTAGTATAGATTTCACGATCCCTGTTCTGTAACAACCAAAAAATAATATAAATTATTATTTATGTCGGCATATGTATTTTTTTTCATGAAAGGAATGAAAAATAGTTATTAATAGTGGTTGCCTTTAGGAAAAAGGAACAGAGAAAGATTCTTTGTTCTTTTCACCTGTACCTTTCTATACACCCAGAATTTTCTAACGTTACACAATTTCTTTTCTGTCAACAGAATTCATCTGTTTCATTTATCATTTCTCGTTTGTGCTTTGTATAAAAAAAACAAACAAATGTATTATTTGATGATGTGAGCAGAATTGTGCTCCCCATACCCATTCTACATGTTGAAGTCCTAACTGTCAAGACAACTGTTTGTTGAGATAGGTTCTTTACAAAAGTAATTAAGTGTAAATGAGGTCATAAGGATAGGGACTTATATAATCCAGGGATTCGTTTCCTTATACGAAGAGAAGCACCAGGAATGTAGGTACACAGGGGGAAAAAAGGTCATAGGCAGACACAGCAAGAAGATGGCCATCTCTACACCAAAGAGAAAGGCCTTAGAGAAATCAACTCTGCCAGCACCTTGATCTTGGACTTCAGCCTCTAGAATTATTAGAAAATAAATTTCTGTTAAGCCACCCAGACCGTGGTATTTTGCTACATTAGCCCTAGAAAACCAATACAGGATAAAATCAAATGGATAAACTGGAAAATCTGAGAAAAATTCTATTTTTAAAAACTGACCAGCTGACAGGAAAAAAATATATACTTAAAATGTGCCATCTTAAGACGTATTCAAAAAAGCTACAATAATCCTTAATAGTGATAAAATTAAAGTCCAAATTTATAATTAGAATATCTTTTAAAGTATAGTTGTGTCACATTTAAAAATATACTCTCTCGAATTTATAAAACAAGAGCAAAAGAGCAAATGATTCTAATAAGTTTAATATTCTTATATATTTAAAACACATCGTACAGTAATGAAATTCAAATTTCAGGAAAACACTCATGCAAAATAAGGTATACTTAGATTTAAACTAAAGGAGATCCTAACCCCTCATCACTTCAACAAATACCAGAAACACAGTAATTAAAAACGTGCAATTAAGTAACACACACACACACACACACACCAAGGACATATAAAAAAAATGAAAATTCAATTTTATTAAAATATTTTAAACACACCAGGCACCTAGGTGACTCAGTCAGTTAAGCATCCAACTTTGGCTCAGGTCAGGATCTTACAGTTTGTGAGTTCAAATCCTGACTTGGGCTTTGTGCTGACAGCTCAGAGCCAGGAGCCAGCTTCAGATTTTGAGTCTCCCTCTCTGCCCCTCCCCTGCTCGTATTCTGTCTCTCTCTCTCTCAAAACTAAATAAACATTAAAAAAAAAATTTTAACATTTTAAACACACCAAATAATACTATGTACTTTTAAAAAAAGTTTTTATTTACCCCCTGCAAAGGGAAATCCCAGTGTTCTGAGCTTCTGAGTTTGGACAGTGGTGACTGAACACGAACATCCTCTGATTTTGCATTTAACATCTTTGTTATCTGAAATCAGAATGAGAAAATAATTGTTCTAACTGAAATATAAATAAGAGCTGAATCAGCTAACAGAACCATTATATTACCTGCATTAATATTTTGCTACTAGTTTTTTAGTTTTTTTTTTTAAATAAGCTCAACATCTAACATGAAGCTTTAATCACAACCCTGAGATCAACACTTGCATTTTCTACTAAGTCAACTATATGCCCCATTTTGCTATTAGTTTTAAGTAGTTTTAAATTCAGTGCTTAATTTATGGGCAGTTTAATATAATTTTATTCTAAAAACCTCTCATTCAGTATTATGGTATACAAATAAAGTATCACAATAGCTTCCTAACTATTCTCTTACCTGCAATCTCTATCCTTCCTAATCTTTCAAACACTATCCCCAGAGTTCCCTAATACACAAATCTAAATATGGCTACAATATTTATCATACAACAATGGTACCCACTACTTACAAATAAAACTCTTAATCTGGGCTCTTTAACATCACCCACACATCACAACATCACACCCCACTACAGTGTTTACTCATCCTCCTTCAAACACATCATATTATTTCAGATCTCCAGACCTTTCTATGTATGTATGAAGAATGCCCTTCCCTCTACTTGTCCCTTATAAAATACTTCAGATTCTGCTCAAAATTAGTCTCCCATCCACACAACTGTCACTCCCAAACCAAGGCATCTTTTCTCTGGATATTAGTAGTTAGTACGTTTTTATTACATTATTTATATTACATGTATCATATTACACTATAAATCTTTGTCCATCTTCTTCTCCAGGCCATGGAGGTCCTTAAGGAGATGGCCCTAACTTAGTTACCTTTAGATCGCTGAAGAGTATGTTTCATGTATGCTGAATAAACAAATAAATGTATGGATTACAACCACAAGTTTGAAATCATCTGATTAGAAATTAAATACCCTAAACTTCACATTAAGAGAAAGTTACAAATGACAGCTAAGCACCAAATTCAGTCTACAAAATATAATATAATAAGTATTATATCAACTACAACCATTAACAATCCATAAAATGATTTCAATGAGAGTAAAGCATAAGTCAGGAGAACAGAGTAAATTTGAAGAAAGGTTATCTCAACTCATTTCACAGTAATCTGAGTTGATCCTCCAAGGCATTAATAAATTACTTATACCTAATCTGTATAAAAGGTATCTCTTTTTAAGTTTTCATCTGCAAAAGACAGTATTATCTCTAAGTCATTTCCTTCATACTCTTAATTAGGTAATAACAAATGCTTTCTCAAAGGGTAAAGGTAAGGTCTTTAGGCTGTTCACACCCATGGACCCTTTGTGAGCAAGTTATTTAGCCTATATTGGATAATTTAGCCTATATTATATATTCCAAAAATAGCCACACCAATATTCCACATTCCACATATTCTTCTTACAATGTGACAAGGACAGTCCTCCAACATCAGGTACAGTCTACATTCCTTCCCCTTGAATCTGGGCAGGCCTGTGACTTCCAAGGCTAGATCATTAAAGGCAATGTTTATATTACTTCAAGCCTGGCTTTCACATGCTTCGGTGTTCTCCCTTCCGCTCTCTTTTTTTTTTCCTTTCCGTTGATACACATTCCTCAGGAGACCTGAGCTAACAGATAAAAAATCTTGGGCACCTTTAAGCCACTATATTGGAAAGACTGAAAAAGAAATAGATCTACACCACAATACTGAGTTTTCTCAGCATAGGTATCAAGGTAACTGAGTAACCAAGCCTTCAAGGTGATCGAAAGCCCTGGCCTCCAAGCCAACCTAACTAACTCCCAAGTGAAAAAAGAAGTTATTTCTAATTGAACCTGCAGATTCTTGAGTAAAATAAGTTCAAACCACTAAGTTTGGGGATAATTTGTTACATGGCTCTTATAATAACCTAAAAAGTTACCCAGTTCAGGAAAACAATCAAGAGAACTAAAAGGCAACCTATGAAATGGGAGAAGATATTTGTGAATTACTTATCTGATAAAGGATTAGTATCCAAAATCTATTTAAAAAACTTCTCAAACTCAATACCCCAAAAACAAATAATCCAGTGAAGTATTGGGCAGAAGACATAAACAGGCACTATTCCCAAGAAGACATCCAAATAGCTAACATGAAAAGATCCTCAACACCACTCATCAGAGAAACACAAATCAAAACCATAATGAAATACCACCTCACACCTGCCAAAATGGCTAAAATTAACAACTCAAGAAACAACATATGTTGGGGAGGATGCAAGGAAAGGGGAATCCTCTTATGCTACTGGTTGGAATGCAAACTGGTGTAGCCACTCTGGGAAATAGTATGAAAGTTCTTCAAAAAGTTAAATATAGAACTACGCTATGATCCAGCAATTGAACTACTAGGTGTTTATCCTAAAGATACAAAACTGCTGGTTCAAAGGGGCACATACACCCCAGTGTTTATAGCAGCACTATCAACAATACCCAAATTATGGAAAGAGACCAAATGTCCATCGACTGATAAACGGATAAAGAAGATGTGGGGTATACACACCATGGAATAATACTCAGCGATCAAAAAGAATGAAATCTTGCCATTGGTAACAACGTGGATGCAGCTAGAGTGTATTATGCTAAGTGAAATAAGTCAATCAGAGAAAGACAAATAATACAATTTTACTCATCTGTGGAATTTAAGAAACAAAACAGATGAACATAAGGGAAGGGAAAGAAAAATAAGTTAAAGACAGACAGAGGCAGGAGCGCCTGGGTGGCTCAGTAGGTTAAGTGTTTGACTTTGACTCAGGTCATGATCTCTCGGTTTGTGGGTTCAAGCCCCGCGTCAGGCTCTGTGCTGACAGCTCAGAGCCTGGAGCCTGTTTCAGATTCTGATCCTCCCCTGCTCACGCTGTCTCCCTCCCTCCCTCTCTCTCTCTCTCTCTCAGGAATAAATAAAACGTTAAAAAAATAGATGGAGGCAAACCATAAGAGACTTTTTTTTTCATACAAGATTTAAATAGAGAACAAACAGAGTTGCTGGGGGGAGCAGGGTAGGGAAGTGGGCTAAATGGGTGATGGGTATAAAAAGGGCACCTTGGGGAGGACCATTGGGTGTTATATGTAAGTGATGAATCACTAAATTCTACTCCTAAAACCTATACTATACTATACGTTAACTAACTTGGATATAAAAAAAAGAAAAAAAATGTTACCCAGTTCAAACTTGTAGGACAACTAAAATTTAGAAAAAATAAGTATTGCGTATTCTGTAAAGTTAGTTTCTTATAAAATACTGCTGATGTCTTCTGCAGATTTTATATTCTTTTTTCATACTAACTAGTTTTCAATCATTTTATCTATGAATGGCTTAGACTCAGTATCAATGAATTATCTACCCTAATAAATATTCATGTATACTTCCATTAGGACAGACACAAAATGTAATTTATCCTATTTTCAAAAAGGGCAGTTCTTAGGGGCACGTGGGTGGCTCAGCTGGTTAAGTGATTTCAGTTCAGGTCATTATCTCATGGTTGTGAGATAGAGCCCCACGTTGGGCTCTGTGGTGACGCTGAGGAGCCCGTTTGGGATTCTACTCTCCCTCTCTATCTGCCGTATCCCTGCTCATGCTCTTTCTCTCTCTCAAAAATAAACATTAAAAAAAAAAAAGAGCAGTTCTCTATTCCTTCCAAAGCACAGACACATAAAATATGGATATTTATTAAAACTCTATAAACTAGCATTAAAAGCTTTAAAAATAAAACTATATATAAATATTTATGAAAAGGGATACAGACTACAAATTATTTTAATATAGAAAAACTAGAAATAATTTTTAAAAATTATACGAAACTATGGTAAAATTAAACCAAGTAAGATACTATTCAGTTGTTATTAAATAACATGTTCCAGGGGCACATGGGTGGCTCAGTCAGTTAAGCATCCGACTTCAGCTCAGGTCATGATCTCACGGTCTGTGGGTTCGAGCCCCACATCAGGCTCTATGCTGACAGCTCAGAGGCTGGGGCCTGCTTGGGATTCTGTATCTTCCTCTCTCTCTGTTCCTCCCCCATTCATGCTCTGTGTCTCTCTGTCTGTCAAAAATAAAAGTTTAAAAAAAAGTTTAAATAACACGTTAAGCTAATGATATTAAGAAATTATTTAGGGGGAGTCGGGCTGGATCAGTCAGAAGAGTATGCAACTCTTCATCTCAGGGTCATGAGTCTGAGCCCCATGTTGGGTGCAGAGATTACCAAAAACAGTAAAGAAATATTTTTTAAAAATTATTTCAAATACAATAAGTATGAAAGAAAAACATAGATACAGAATGATCTCTGTTTATAAGGCAAAAAAAATCCATAAATAGAAATAAAATATGAAAGGTTATACTCAAAAATGTTTGACAGGGATTATCTCTACTGAGATAAAAGGTGAATTTTATTTTCATATTTGTGTTATCCTAGCTTTCCAATATTTTATTTTTTTAATAGGGACACAATGCAACTGTTAAATGTAAGGAAAAAAATTTTAACATTTAAAGCTCCAGAAAAGCCTCTGCTGTAGCTGACTAATAAATTACAGATTTAAATCTCTCACACTAATAGTGTATACAAGAAAAGCACAAGCAGATTTGAGGTACAACTACTGTCAATTTTTTCCACACTAATTTTTTTCTTAATGATTGGTAAAAAATAATGTAAACCTTTTTGCAACAATCTTATCTGTTCTTACATAAACTTTAATCATAGTCTCTGCTGTGTGCAATCAATAAAGATTCTAAGCTACTCATGATTCTATAAAGCCTATAATTCCATTTACAAGAATCAGAATGGACTCCTAATACTCTCAAGTATTTCAATAGTCTTCTAATATGTTAAAGATGCAAATTTAAATTTTTAAGTCAAAAATGGGTTCTAAATCGCCTTCCCTTAATATTATACTTAAATATATCACAGAACTCTAATAACTTCCCCCAAAACAAATCTCAAGAAATTTATTTTACTTACTAATGTTCAAATGTAG